GAAAAGCACACAGCGACCCACCTGCTGAACTGGGCACTGAGGCAGACCCTGGGACCCAGCACGGAGCAGCGGGGCTCCCACCTCAGCCCGGAGCGGCTACGCTTTGACGTGGCCACCCAGGTAAGCCTGGGTTGTGGGCCCAGCACTGCCCTTCCATCTCTGTGGCCTTCCAACAGCGCCTTTCCCAGATTCTTCCTGTCAGTAGGGGTCAGGCCAGCCATGGCGGCCTCCTGCAGCCCTGCTGCACAGTTCCCCTCACCTCAGCAGCCAGCTTTCTTGTTCCTGCTGTCTCCAAGCCAGCAGCCTTGCTCAGACCTAGCCACCTGCATTTTTCTCCCATTCCATCTCCTGGCCTCTGAGTAGCTGACGAGCCCTGTGGCAGCTAGCTGCTCTGTGCCCACAGCCCCCTCCTGGAGACCCCCTGCCAAGCCACCCCATCTAAGCTCCCTGAGGACACAGCCTCCCCTTAGTGTCTTTTGCCAAGTGACCGGTATTCATCAAAGGCCTATGGCTTCCCTTTGGCACCTCTCACAAGTGGCTTGGAGCTCTCTGCCTCACCTGTGCCTAAAAGTCCCTGTCCCCATCCCATGCTCTGGCACCTGGGGACAATCCTAGGAATACTAAGAGTGATGTGCATGGGACTAATACTGTCATTCTGCCCCACCCCAGGCTGCCCTGACCCCAGAGCAGCTCCGTACTGTAGAGGGCACCGTGCAGGAGGCCGTGCAGCAGGATAAACCTGTGTACATGGAAGAGGTACCCCTGGAGCTCACTGCCTGCATCCCTGGCCTGCGCTCCTTTGATGAAGTAAGCAGGGCCACCCTCTTGGTGGCAATGGCTACACTTGACAAAGCCATGAGGCCTCTGTCCTCCACTGGCCATTATAGACCTGCCCCTCCACTGCAGGTGTACCCAGACCCTGTGCGGGTGGTATCGGTTGGGGTGCCTGTGGCCCATGCCCTGGATCCCATGTCCCAGGCTGCGCTGCAGGCCTCTGTGGAGCTCTGCTGTGGGACGTGAGTCACCCTCTTCCGCCCTGGACTGTGCCCTTCCTGGCCCATGGAGCTCCCAGTATTTGGCCTGAGGCCCAGGCTTCTCCCTACATCCTCATCCCCTGACCTCCCTTCCACAGGCACCTGCTTCGCACAGGGGCTGTGGGGGACCTGGTTATAATTGGGGAGCGCCAGCTCACCAAGGGCACCACCCGCCTGCTGGCTGTCACCGGGGAGCAGGCCCAGCAGGTCAGCACACTAGTGGGCCCAGGAGACTTCTGGATGTGGATGGGGCAGGGGGCCACACACAGGCAACACCGCCAGGCTTGGAGACATCAGGCAGCAGAGCCAGAGTTGGTACATGCACCCTGGCACACAGGTGTGAATATCAGTTGGGATATTCAGTGCTGGTGCTATGGTCAGTCGTTCTTGACTCTTCCACATTTCTGACTTGGCCTTGGGCAACAGTGACTGCCAGGCCTTGTCTTAGGGTGGCCCTACTGTCCCGTCCCTACCCTGCAGGCCCGAGAGGTAGGCGAGAGCCTGGCCGGGGAGGTTGATGCAGCCACTGAGCGTCTGAGCCAGGGCACCAGGGACCTGACGGAGGCTCAGAGGCTGTCCAAAGACATGGGCCGACTCACAGAGGTGAGGACCACCCTGCCATGGAGCCAGGGCCACCCTCAGCAGGGTAGCTTGGGGACAGCACAGGTGTGACACCACTACCCCTGACTGCAGGCTGTGGACAGTGCTGTGATGCCTCAGTGGCAGCGGAGGGAGCTACAGGCCAGGCTGAAGTTGCTGCAGCGCCGCGCCAACACCGCCATCCGCAAGCTGGAGCTTGGTCAGGTGAGGGGACAGGTGGTCCGTGAGTGGCAGCTTTGCCAGTTAAGATCAGCACCGCCCTGGTCCCCACATTCCTGTCTGCTGCACGGTGTCTCTGCTGCAGCTTTCCCTCCTGAGGCTTCTCAATGGTGACTACCACCCAACTCTGCCTGTTCCTTGTCTCCTGTACCTGGCCTGCCTCCTTTTACCTGCAGGGACCTTTTGTAGGGCCAAGAGCTGTGACAGAAGGGAATAGGCAAAGTGGGGAAAGGACACAGTGGAGCCTGAGATAGGAGCCAGCGAGGCTAGCCTGCACCCCTGCTCAGAGCCATGGCCCTGCTAGGGGGCTGCGGGGTTGGGGTTGGGTCCCGATGTGGGAGCAATGGCAGATCGGCCTCTCAGTCTACCTTCTGTGTCCCTCTGCTCTGCAGGCTGCTGTGAAGTCCCAGGAGCTGCTGAGGCGGCACGAAAAGGGGCCTCTGATTGTGGACACTGTCTCTGCTGAGTCCCTCTCGGTCTGCACTGGTGGAGGGGCTGAGGAGGGGACAAGTCCTTGGGGGAGGTGGCCGTGAGTCACCCATGCCCTTCTCTCACACCCAGGTGCTGGTGAAGGTGGTACGGCAGTTGTGTGAGCTCGCCCCAGGCACCTCTGTGCTCCTCCTCAGCCCGCAGCCAGTGGGCAATGTCCTGTGTGCCTGCCAGGTGGCTCAGGTAGGGGGGCACAGCCGGTGGCCTTGGGTTCTACACCTTTATCCTCCCCCCCCAGATAAGGGACTGAGACAGGGGGAGGAAACCTGTGAGGTTGGCCAGGGCAGGGCACGCTGCTTATCCCTAAAGGTGGGCTCTACAAGGTGCTTTGCTCACCCCTGCAAAGCTGCTCATCGGCCTAGCCCCCCTGACATCTGCCTCGAGGGCTGCCTTGGGGCTTCTCCACAGCAACTGCCTTTGACTCTGTTTGTCCCCAGACTGCCGCACCTACCTTCACAGCAGAGGCCTGGGCCCTGACCGTGTGCAGCCACATGGGAGGCAAGGCCTGGGGCTCGCATGTCGTGGCCCAGGGCACTGGAAGCACCATGGACCTGGATGCTGCCCTCCGTGCAGCCCATGCCTATGCCATCAAGCAGCTCTGACCCTAGTGCTCCGGGGAGCTACAACAGCCAAGCCCCTGGCACCCTGGAGCAGCCCCCGTGACCTCCCAGAGGTCCAATTACTGAGCCAAAGGAGACCACCTGTCACCTGACACAAGAAAACAGACTGGGCACACAGAAGTGGCCCAGAAGTGCCACACCAAATGTGCAAACAGAGCTACCACAGCTATGACTTGTCATTAAAGCGGTTTTCACAGAGGAGAGCATGCCCGGCAAGGTTCTTTTTCTTTAAAAAGAGTGGGCCTTGCTCTCCCACCAGGACACGAGCATCACCACCAGTGTGGCCATTCCCACCAGGGAAAAGGCTGCAGGATCCAGGTCAAGGCCACCTTACTGGCAGAGCATGTCCCACTGGGTGCCCACAGAGGCTCCGGAAGTGTCGGGTGGAGCTGGGCAGACCCTCCTCGGATACCAGCCTTGTTAACAGTGACCCCGAAGTCCAGAGTTGTATTTCAGTCGCACTGTCTGGTCAGCCCACTGTGCAGCAGGAGCTGGTCAACTGCTGAGCCCAGTGGTGCTTGCTGGGGTGAGGGAGGAGGCAGTAAGGAGGTGGTGTCCAGTGGTGACAGTCCAGTGACACCAGGTTGTGGGGACCGCTACAAAGTGGCTCTGAGAAGGATTTATATTAACCAGTTGGCTTTTCATGTTCACTGGTGAGTCTGCCCAAGACCTAGGCCCCTTGTCTAGGGATGGGCAGCCTGTAATAGTGACTGAAGCCATGGCACCTCAGGACAAGACAAGGCCACAGCTAAAGACACCTGGCTCCAACCTCAGATAAAGACTAGCTGCAGGCATCTCCTTCCTACGGATGACATCGTTCTAAATTACCATAATGTCTTACTTGGAGAAGTCTTTGTAGGGACTCCCAAGGCCCTGGCATTCAAGACATTCCCACCTTCAGTATTCCCCTGCCCTTGTTCTGATAACTAAATAAACATTCTGATAGGTAAATAAGTCCACCCAGAAAAGTTTTTTGTCTTAACCCCCAGAGAATCTCAAACGCTGTGAGAGGGTTTCAATCCTCCTGGAGCCCAGAAATCATTTGTCCTATTTCTCCTTTGCCACCCACTCATTTGGGAGATTGCAGACCTGGGATGATATTGCCTCCATGACCAGGGACTAGAGGGGCAGCTGAACTAGGGGACAGTGTTGCAGGCTGGGAGACAGCAAGGGGCTGGGGCTGGGGACAGAGTCAGGGCAATTACGCACCCCAGAAACCAGTTGTGTAGCACACGCCCAGCCTAAGTGGAGGAAGCCAAGGAGGCTGTCCGCCTCCACCCACCAGGATAGGCCATGAGCTTGCAGCTGCAGCGCTGCTGCTGGGAACAGAGGCTCAAGGGGCCTCTCCAAGGCCAGGGCTCCCTGACAGCCAGTCCCCAGGTGCTGGCTGTCCAGAGAAACCATGCCCGCAAGGTGTCTTCCTAAGGCAGATGATTTGTGGGGAGGGCAGCAACGCAACTCTCTGTGGCCCTCTGGGTGGCCGCGGGAAGCGTGCTGCCCTGCGTTACTGGTAAGTCGTCCCAGGGTCTGTGGCATTAGATAACGAGTCATCTGCCGCTGAACTTCAAGGAAGCTCCGCCTTCCCCGGACCCCTCCCACCACCAGGAGCACTGTTCCCTTTCATAGCCGCTCCGGCTATCTGTTTTCCGCCCCATACTGGGCCTGGAAGGAATGGTGGTGGCCTTGAGCTGTAGGAGCTGGCAGGCTCCTTCCTTGGCCTTCCCTGAAAGATCCTGGAATGGTGGGGTCAGTCTTCCCCGCCACCTCCCCCGTCCCCAGGAGGATCCCAACAGACCCACACACACCCCCACACCCCCAACTTCCGCGCGCCAACTCCCAGGCGCACATTCCCAGACACCCTACACCCCACAGCCTACAGCACGGATTTCCTGACCCAGGGGGTCATGTGGGCAGGAGGCAACCTCGTATGACTCCGCCCCGCGCTGACCCCGCCCCTGGCAACCTGGGCGTCCCTAACGACTCCCAGGCAACATCAGCGTCCCTAGCGACCACCAGCCTACCGTTGACGATGACGGCAGGGAGCCTAGCCAGGGGCCCATGCCCACTGGGACCATTGTGTGGCCTCATTATATCAGTGTTGAAGGCCCTGAGGCCCTCAGAAGAGTGACCCCTCCTCCTGCAGGCCCAGAAGCTTCTGGCACCTCCTTCACCCCCCTCGTGGTGGTTCTCTCAGTTAACAGAGAAGCCAGAGTCCTCACCCCAGGTAGGGTGGGGAGGGGCTGCTGGGGTGTCTGAGGGAGCTGGGGGCCGGTCCACTGGAGCCTCTCTTGAGGCAGCAGACTTTAACGGGCAGGAGTTGGCAGGAGCAGGCCCTGGGGATTGAACACTATGATTCTCACGGGGCAGAAGACCAGCCTGTTTGTCAGACAAACTCTGTTCGCTGGCCGTACAAACTGGGGCTCAACAGCTGCACGTGTAAGTGTGGATTGTCCTAAGCTACTGTGGGCATGAAAGAGGTCAGGACAGAGACGGAGTCAAGCCCTAGGCCCCAGGATGTCTCTCCTAGGGGCCCTGGGTACAGGCAGGCAAGCTAAAGCCAGTGGAAGCTAGAGGGGGAGCCAGAGAGGCCAGTCCTCGCAAAAAGGAGGGAGACAGCTGAGGGTCAGGGCTGTAACAGCAGGGTGAGTGGCCCCCTGTGACGTCATCTACAGGCAGGAGTGTGTGTGTCTGCCTCCAAGTCAGTGGCTGGATTTAACTGGAAGGATTTGAAACTCATTCCCAATGGGAAGTGGATTTTGCATACACCTGATCTTGTCTTGTCTTGTCATATATCCTATGCTTGACAAAGTATACAGCCCCCTGGGTGTTCAGGAGCCAGTTGGTCCCTGTCCCAGTCACCAGTTTCCTCATCCATCCAAAGGGCTAAGGAAGCTTGCCCTGCCTCCACTACAGAAGAGAGAATAACTGTGAAGGGGCCTGCTACCGTCACGCCTGAGCTGATGCTGCGCAGTGCCAGGAGAGCTGGGGTGTGAGGCTGGAGGTGCAGTGTCGTTGCAGAGGACAAGGCCACCGGGACCCAGCTCTGGCAGTGACAGCTGGGGACCTCGGCCCTTCTCAGCTGGCCCTCTGATCTAGTTCAGCACCTGGCAGGATTTTCCCTATGATTTCTCTCACCAAACTGTGAGCCCAGCAGAACTCAGCTTCAGTAAAAGGGGCTTGGAAGCAGCAGTCACATTAGGTCTCAGGGCTGTGGAGGCACCAGGCTGCCCAGGGTCTCGGGGACGGGGAGGAAGGTGCCTGGGTTCTCCAAGTCTGCCATCTGTCCCCTTGGGAGTCTGTCTCTCCCGCTGCAGGCAGCTCTGTGTGTGAGGGAGGTGGCTCCCAGCAACGGGGGCTGCAGAGCCTTCAAGGACATCTGTCCTTCTGTCGCCTGCACTTGGACAAACCTGAGGCAAGCTCTGATTGGCTGACACTGTAGCCACCCCCGGACCAGTGGCTCTGGCTAATAGGATGCTTCTCACCAGCAGCTAGCTATTCTTAGAAGCATGGGGCAGCCCCAAACACCAGCACCCACCAGAGTAGATCTGAGATCCAGGCGAACAGGAGTGGGGGAGCAGCCCCCCCATAGCCCCCCATGGTAGTGACACAGGAACTGGAGGGTATGTTCAGCAATGTGGGGGTCAGGAAAGCCCAGTGAGTGGTGCTAAGCTGAGACCCAGTGCACCAGCGTCCCTTTCCTGGTGAGGTGGCAGAGGCCTGCAGTGTCCCAGGTTCAAGAGCAGGGAGGCCTTGGACACAGGAACTAGGGTAGCTGTCTGTGCCCAGTGGGGTGCAGAGGCTTCCAAGGTCCAGATCTGACAGGACCAGCTGATGCCTGGAGCCCGAGCCCAACAGCTGGACTATAGTGCAGGCAGACATGGAGTCAGTAGGAAAGAACAGAGGGAGTTGGGGAGCAGATGGGTGGAGCCAGCACCCAAATATGGGATGTGGGCAGAATAGTCTGGACCGCTGAACTCAGGGAAGAAGGGAGCTGGGCCCTGAGTGAGGGTGGCAGGATTCTGGGGGCCTGCCTCCACACATGCATGGTGGCCCCAGTGTAAAGCCTCACAGAAAAAGTGGCAGAGGTGGGCAGGGTGACACCCGCCTGGGGAGGGGTCATATGTCACACTGTCTTTCTTTTTCTTTTCTTTCTTTCTTGTCATACTGGGGATGGAACTCATTATGCTGCGGAGCTATCTCCCCAGCCCCCCCCCTCTTTTTTTTTTTTTTTTTGGTATTTTAGGGAAGGGCCTACAGGGTCTTCAGGGTCTCACTAGTAGTGATCTGCCTGTTTACAGTCTCCCAAGAGCTGGGATTACAGTGGGGGCTGGCACGGCAGGTCTGGGAATCAAACCCCTGCCCCTGCACCTGCTTACAGGCACTTTAATCTGCCGAGCTATTTAGCCAGCCCCCACACTGGAAGATGGAAGTTCATTTTGTTCATTTTTTTTTTTTTAAGAGGGAAAGGTTTATTTAGCTCATAGCTTATAAAGGTTTCAGTCCGTAAAAGTTCCAAGGGTGGCAGAGGGGAATAACAGTTAGTAGCAGCCAAGGACAGCAGAAGCAACAAGTGTAGAAAGGTCATTATCCTTTTAAATACAGTTGGATCTGTCATTTGTTTTGTTTGGGTTTGTTGAGACAAAGTTTCACTATATAGTTCAGGCTGGCTTTGAACTCACTAAGTAGCCCAGGCTGGCCTCAAACTTTCGCTTATCCTCCTGTCTCAGCCTCCCAAGTGCTGGGATTTAGGGATGGGCCACTATGCCCGGCATCTGTTATTAAAGTTTTGTTTTGTTTTGTTTTTTCGAGATGGGGTCTCAGCATGTAATCCAGGCTGGCCTCATACTTGCAGCAACCCTCCTGCCTCAGTCTCCCAAGTGATGGGACTACAGGGGTGCATCACCAAGCCTAGCTATTATTAGTTTGTTTTTTGTTTTGTTTTGGAGGAACTGGGGATTGAATTCATGCCCTTGCACTTGCCAGGCAAGCACTTATTCTACTGAGCTATCTCTCCGGCCCCAGTTAGGTTTTTTTTTTGTTTGTTTGTTTTTAAAAGTAGGTTTTTTGTTTGTTTTTTGCAGAACCGGGGATTGAACTCAGGCCCTTGCACTTGCCAGAAAAGTAGGTTTTTAAAAACACTCAAGATCCAAATCTAGTGTCTGAGGGTCAGCCAAATACCTCAGCAGATTAAAGCACATGCAAGCAGGTGCAGGGGCCAGGGGTTCACTCCCCGGGCCTGCCATGCTGTCCCACCCCAGGGGCGCTGAGATGGCGACTGAGACTGGGCATGGTGGTGTAGGCCTGTAATCCCAGCTCTTGGAGGCTGTAAACAGGTGGATTACTATGAGTCTGATCTAGTAGTGAGACCCTGAACACCCTGTAGACTCCTCCCTAAAATCCAAAAAACAAACAAACAAACAAAAATCTTGTGTCTGGTGAAAATTTGCCTATCTAAAACACACACACTGGGGCCGGGGAGATGGCTCAGTAGGATAAGCGCTTGACCAGCAAATGCAAGGATCTGAGTTCAATCCCCGGTTCCGCAAAAAAATAAATAAATAAATAAATAAATAAATAATAAAAAATAAAAAAAATAAAACACACACACTCTCTCTCTCTCTCTTTGATTTTTTTCAGTACTGAGGATTGAACCCAGCGCCTTTGTAGTAAGCTACACCCCCAGCCTTTTTTTGATTTTTTACTCCTGAGGCAAGATCTTGCTAAATTGCTCAGACTGGGCTCTACTTCGCAATCCTCCTGTCTTAGCCACCCAGTTTGCTACGCCCAACCAAAATTATTCTCATAATTCATAGTTTTGAAACAGCAAGAAGTGGCTGGGGATGTAGCTCAGCGGCACAGTGCTTGCCTGGCAAGCACGAGGCCCTGAGTTCAATTCCTGAGCACAAAAAAAAAAAAAAAAAAAACCAGCAAGAGCTGATTAAGGGAACACAATCAGCACTGCGCATGTTGTGCAGTTAATGATGCCAGTGTTTGCTTTAGAAATGACACCAGACCGGGGCTCTTGATGTGGCTCCTACAGCAACAGCTGGAGCAGAGAGGCTCTGGTCCTCCTTCTGCGCTGTGGCACCCTGAGATGGGTCTCCCCAGCCCCAGGAGGGGTCTCTAAGGAGGAGGGAGCAGGGGCTGCTGCTGACTAGGACAGTGAGCATGGGCCACAGGGCAGCAACAAGGCCTGTTCTCTGGGAACCCGTGTGCCCTGCCAAGCTGGGGCCTGCTCCCTGCAGTGCAGCCCACAGTGTGCCTGGGACCAACAGAACAGTCAGGAAGGGGCCCACGAGTCCAGGAGCAGGGCCCACCTGTTGCCTAAGCCTCCTCCCTGCCGCCACGCGCCTGAACCTCCAGCCTCCAACACCACTGCTACCTCACCCCAGGGAATGGTCCCCAAGCCAGGTCCCTGGTCCACCCAGTGCTGTCACTTGCACCCACCCCCCAACAGCCATTCCAGATATCCCCAGTAGTCAGCAAGTATCACCCCAGAGGAACCCCTGCAATCCCCCACACAGGCAAAAATCATTGTCCACAGTAAATGTGTGAATGTGGAAACTGAAGTTCAGGTAGGTTGAGTAACTGGGCCAAGGTCACCCCGCAGGTGACTAGCAAGGCAGGAAACTCAAAGTGAGTGTAGACTAAAACAGCACTCACCCCAGCTGCCCCCTCCAAGGCACCCTGGGGCCAAAGCGGGGGGGGGGGGGGGGAACCTTACTGAATTTGCACTGGTTTCCACAAGGGGTGTCACCGAGCAGAAACAACGACCGCATACTGCCCAGCCACCACCCACCTCAGCCAGGCTCTTCCTCCTGGAGCTGCCTGGCACCCGAGGGCACCATCTGGTCACTCCCTCTGCCAAGGATGTCTTTCCTGGATCACTGTGTCCCTCCCCATAGGCCATGCCACAAGGCCCCAGGCAGGTGCTATCTGAGGTGCTGAGTGCTGGGCAGGCAGCCCTGCCTACACCAGGTCTCTGAGCACAGGGCAGGGTGTCCCCAGACCAGGCCACATTGCATCCCCTGTCCTCAGCCCCAGATTCAGCTGTCTTCTCTCTTATACCTGCTGTGCTCCAAGCTGTCTGGGAGGTGGGGGCCAGGAGAACCGGAAGTGGCTCTGATAGGGAGATCACAGGAGGGCTCAGGGCTGGAGGCCTGTATGGTCAGAGGTGAGGGGACCAGCTCCCTGGGCAGGCCATGCCCGGTCTCCTCTTCTTCTCTCAGCTCAAAATGACCTTAAAGTTACATAGCCACAGGCTCAGTGTGCTACACCCCCAACCCTTTCGGTTTTTAGTTTGAGCACAGTACAGGCTGGTCTTGCATTTGCCATCTTCCTGCCTCAGCCTTTCAAGTATGAATGGTTAAACTCAGTGTAAATTCATCCTTTTGGGGCTGGGGAAATGGCTCAGTAGAATAAGCACCTCCCTGGCAAGCACAAGGGCCTGAGTTCAATCCCGGTTCTGCCAAAAAATAAAATAAAATAAAAATAAACCCATCCTTTTTCTTTAGAAGCTGTGCAACATTGGACAAGTCAGTTACCCTCTCTGTGCTTCTACCGCCCATCAGGAAATGGGAAAATATGAGTGCCTAACTCTAAAAGGCTTTCATGAGGATAAAGGTGTTAATATACATAGAGGGGCATCCAGTGTATACCAAGGGAACTACTTGACCTAAAAAGGGAACCACATTAGCTGCTTGCTAGCTTCACATGCCAGACAATTTATTCTGCTTTCTTCAGTCATTATTTAATTCCCTCCCCCCAAATAATGTTGGTAACTGTTTACCTTCTTTTCATAGAGGCTGCACCAAAACTAAGAGAGGTGCAGTCACTTGCAGAAGGCCACACCGCTGGCTGTTCGGATTTGCACCAGGCTCTTCCAGAGCTCTGCACTCGAAGAACCTCCAAAGTCTCACCCCTCCCTGTTTCCTCTCCCTCCAGGTCCCCACCAGCATCAGGGACCTGAGCAGCTTCTCGTGTCCAGGTCACCACAGGGCCTCCTGCCCCTCTGACGCCAGCCCTCAGTATGCAGGACTCCCGGCCCCCATCTGGGCTACTCACCCCCCACAAGTCCTCCTCCGGCCCTGGGCCCCCCGGGCTACTCACCCCCCACAAGTCCTCCTCCGGCCCAGGGCCCCCCGTCGCCACCCACACTTCAGCCCCGGGCATGGTCCCCCGCAAGCGCACCACCCCGAACTTCCGCCGCATGCGCAGGATCATTGCAGAAGACACCGAGTGGTCGCTGGCCATCGTGCCCCTCCTCACGGAGCTCTGCATAGAGAACATCATCAAGAACTTCCGGAGTGAGTCTGCAGGGAGCGGAGGAGGGCCAGGGCTCCCACTTCCTGCAGAACCCACTGCTAGGCTCCCAGCAGCCTCTGCCACAGCGACTCGAAACATCCCACAGCCCCTCCTGTCCCAGCCAAAGCAGCTCCTCCCCCAGAACCCGTCTGAACTCCAGTACATGTAGCTTTCTGGCTTGCTCTTGGACCTGTGCTTGGTAACCAGAAACCACAGAAGTACAGGGCGGGGGAGGGGGCCCTGTCCTGAGGAGCACTCTGAAGACCCCGCCAGGCCAGCGTTCTGTCCCCAGCACTGGTGACCACCTGACCTGCATGTGCTCTTTTCACCTTTTTTTTTTTTTTTTGAACCTAGGATCGAACTCAGGACCTTGTGCTTGCCAGGCAGGCACTTATACCATTGAGCTATCTCCCTGGCCCGTCTCCTTTTT